GGGGGGGGGGGAGAAGGGAGAGATAACACAAAAAGTGGAAGGAGAGTATTTGGGATACTATATAACTGTCCTTCTTTGGGGGATTACTAGATACAGAAAGAGAACCAAGAGCCTTGAAACATTATCAAAGAACCTTTCAACTGAAATTATAGATAGAAAAAAATAACTTACTCTTTAAGTAATTTTAAAAAAGAGGAGGGAAGCCCTAGCCGGTTTGGCTCAGTGGTTGGAGCATTGGGCCAAGGGTTCGATTCCAGATCAACGGCACATACCTGGGTTGCAGAATTCCCACCCAGGGCCTGTGCTGGAGGCAACTCACCATGTGTCACACCTGTGTTTCTCTTTCTCTATTTTCTCTCTCTCTCCCCTCCCTTCCACTCTAAGAATCAATGGAAAGAATATCCTCCAATGAGGATTAACAAAAAAAAGGGGGGGAAGCAGTCCAGCCACAACCATTACTAATACTGTTAAAACCGCTTCTTATTAGTTCTTGTAATGCTATGTAACAAATTTTAAAATAATTACTACCCACCTCAAACAACATATAATTAAAATTATGTATATCAATAACCCCTAATATTTGAGGAAAGGAGAACTGAGATAAAGAAAAGATACTTAGGAACCTGCAGTCCCATAAATCTGCATTTCTCCTGGCCCAAAAGAACATTCTAGAGAGCTCCAAAACCCTGCTCTGCTTTATAGATAGCTTGTCTTTAGAGTCAGAGGTGGCTGCCTTAGGAGAGTAATAGAAATGGACAATCAAAAGCAACCCGATTGAGGAAAAAGCAGAGAATGGTAATTATTTTGGTTATCAAACAGAAGAAATTATAGAGTATGAGCGCAAAGTAGACAGTTTTCAACTACAGATTTCCTTAACTTTAAATGAACCCATCATGATATCTCTGAGTAAAAGTTTACTTTTTTTACTTTTCCTGCCTTTTTTTTCAATTTCTCAGAGTTAAGGGATGATAAGAAAAATATCCTGAGATGTTCTAAATTAAAATTACAGCAGCCAGAGAGTGAGAGAGAGAGAGAACATTAGTCTGTTAATAGCTGTGGACTAGCTCTGACAAAAAACTGCTCACATTTCCTATATGTATCTGTTGGAATTTAGGATTAATTTCCAGGTGGCTATTTCTGAGATTATCCAAGAGAAATAAAGCCAGGCACCACAGAATCCCAGAAGCCTACACATCTTATTTACACATGAACTTTCCAATCTGCTGCCCATAGTTAACCACAAGAGGGGACACTTCCTCTTTAAGGACTCTATTGCGATTGCATCTATCCCAGAACTAGCCTGTTTCACCTTCTCCCACCCCCTTTGTCTATAGCTAATATAAATCCTTTCAGAACAATTACATCTTTCTCCTCCCTACCTGATACATAAAAATGCTTGCAAAACTCCAGGACAGTGGACATTTTGTCTATCCTACCTAGCCATGCTGCTGGTGGTTTAGACTCCATACCCCAAGATCAGTCTCTTTTTTTTTTTCCTGCTAGCAATGGCCTGATAAACCTTTTCTTTTAAAAAAACTTTAAGCCATGGAAGCTAAATTTTTGTTTAACTGGTATTTGAAAAGAATGCCAAAGAATTAGATCAGAGTTCTGATTCTGTGATTAACTTGCCATGTGTGATCTTGAGTAAATTTTTTATCTAACCCCAGAATCGCTAAAATGGGCCAAATAAATCTCCACTGCCTACCTCCTAGGGAAAGAGTGAGTTTATGTTGAAACCAAAGAGCTGTTCAGTCCCCTAAAGAGAAGCTTTTGTAAAAATATTATAGGGCCGAATACAACAGCAGCAGGAAATATGACCTTCCAAATTCCTAAGCAGTTAAACCATATCACATGCAGTAACTCCTGCAGGTCAACATGTTAGACAGCAAGAAAGGAGGAACAGTGTCCCTGTCAGTTAAGCAATGGTAAACTAATAAACCTTCAGGGAATAGGCAGATACGTTCTATCTCAAGGGTAAAATACTTATTCTTATGCCTTAAAACTCAGAAAAGCATAGGAGATGACAATGAAAAGACTAATAGTAATTCTGTGAAGGAATAAAGGACAGGAAAGAATGAGAGCAACACTAACACTTTAGGAAAAAAGTGAATTCAAGGAGGAAAGGGACAAAAAATATTCTGGAGTCCACCCCTCTCCCTAAAACAGCAGGGAATAAAGAGTCAGATCAATTCCTTCCTTCCCATTCTTAAGACCTGACTAAAGGGCACATGGCTGAGGTCCCTTATTCTTTAGGAAATGGGTTTTGTAACAGCTGACAAATCAAATTGGGCCTGATGCCAGGAGTCAGAGTCTAACCATAATATTCTGTAAAGAATGGCATGCAATTGTATTGTAAATCTCCTGGACAGTCACAGATCAGAAGCTGGCAAGGATGACGACATAGTTCTGATGGAATGTGTCTTATCTTAACCTTGAAGTTACAGATCTGCTCAGGAGCAGCAGTAAGAAATGAGAAATGCACTCAGACACTGGAGGGGACATAATTCTCTTTTAGACAGTGTGACCCAGTGTATTAGGGTCAAATGAAACACAAAGCCAGACAGACAATTTAAGGGCTAGAGCCTGGACCAGATAAAGCATCACGACTGGTGGTTCACACTGAGCTGGAGGAGGGAGTGTTCCAGTATGAGAAATGAGACAAGGCTGGCAGGATGATGGAGTGATTAAGGTAGAATCCTGATACCATGCAGGAGGAAGAGAGGATGAGCCTCTGAGCGCAACCTTATCCTTGTGGAAATCTCCATGGGAAGGGGTGAGTAGCTTCTCAAATTTCTAGAGTCTTTCAGGCGTACCAGCTCTTACCCCTTTCTTGAACATACCCAGGAACTCTCTGTTAAAGTTATCAACATCTACAGATAGATTCCAACAATTTAACTGCCCATAAGGATACAAGAAAAGAGCAGGCCCCACCAACCCTTCATATCAACGATACGAGGCAAATTCACCATACAGGCCTCTGAGTGCCACGGAAGACACCTAACCCAGGGATCTGGTGAGAGTCAGCCTTGGAAAAACATCAAAGAGCATTGAAGTCAGGCACAGTCAGAACCCACATTCCAAGTTGATGACAGGAGAGGCCTTTAACAGATGAATCTTCCAGGGGGAAAAAAGGGGGGGAAGTAAGGAAGTGAAGGGGAAAGAGGAGAGGAACAAAAAAATCCCACACATCATAAGGATAAAAGAAAAAACGTGTTAAAACTGCCAATCCCCAGAAATTAAAGAGGAAAGCTGGGGAAATCCAGAACAGATGATGGTTAACATTTGCATTAACCAATCAATCCTGGAACCACAGAACCACCCACACTGGGTCTCTGATATCTGTTTGCTCTGTACAATTCAGGCTCTGCTCTAGTCCCTCCAGACCCTTTTCAATGCCAGCTGTTTTGGTGGCTTTTCTTAGATCTTGGTGTGGCAAATTTTATTTTCATTACTGCTTACAAGCAGAAGCATATAGATATATATCACAATTCTAAATCTTTCTCTAAGCTTTCTTGTATTATTTTAAAAGTAATGGAAAATAACTGGTAAGTTGCTTCACTGAACTACCCACTAAACTATTTGGAGGTGGTAATCAGACCAACTGTCAAAATGCATAATCAATAAACTCTCTCTTCATTTTAGAGTTTTGATATAACTTCTACAAGCCTACTCAGAAGGTAAAATTCTCCAGGGGAAAGAAAAAAAAAAGCCATTCTAAAGAGTAGGAGAGGATGAGGGTATATGCAAAGCTCCCTATCATAAGTGTTAATTAAATATGCCACTGATGAGTGACTTCACTAGGCCCAGGTTGAGAAATTCCCATTTCTCCCCCAAGGCCCATGGGGAAGGCTAGTGATTTAGGTAAAGATTATATTGTCAGCTACAGCACTGTCTTCAAAGTGTCCTCTAGCTAGCCTTATTGTAACAAAACATGAAAAGAAACCAAACTTACAAAACCATTGTAATCAGGTCTATATTCTTTGCTCTCTAGGATCTATAAGTACTAGTGATTTCAGGTTTGTAACGCGTACTGCATAAAACTAAAATACCCTCTATAAAGTTGTTTTCTTCCACTAGATTTATGATTTCCAAAGTATCAGCCATGCGGCATTTTAACAAAAACATAGCATAGAGATGCACATTACAGCTGTCCTGGCAATCTCAGGTTTGTTAAATGGGCTGATAACTATCATTCCACCTCCACCAAAAGCCCATGAGCACCCAATTCAAGAGGAGTTAAAAGCTTTTTAAATGTCTATTTAAGAGACTTGGATTAGGAAAGAGTTGAGAAGGAAGATTAACTGTCATCATTAACTCCCCTATCATTAACAAGCCACATATAGACAACACAAACTTTATTAATAGAGAGGATGGAAGAAATGTTCTCCCTTTGGCTAGCACAGGTCCAGTTTGCGATCTTTTAAAAATCA